TTTCCAATAGTAAGAGATTATTTTATTTTCTTGCCTTATTACATTAGTTAATACTATACAATACTATGAATGATGGTAATGATGGGGTATTATTCTTGGTTTGCATTTGGACAGAACATGGCTTCAGTGCTTTATCAGTTAATATGATAGTTGGTGTTAGATTTTTCTCTTTTTGGTAATTTTTTCATTTTAAGGTAATTGCCTTTTATTCTTATATTACTTAAACTTTTTATTTAGCAGATGTTTTTAACCTTGGAGAGGAAGACATTTCAAGGCAAAGTAGGAAACCTAAAAACCACAAGGCAAAAAGAAAGACATGCTTGACTTCACAAAAATTAAGAAAAAAATTGTTTCTGAATGGCAAAACCGATTTTTGAGTGACGAAATACTATACAAAATGTAAAGTCAAGGAGAAAAATATTTGCAACCCATTTAGTGTCCCTATCATATCAATAATAAAAAATAATAAAAAATGACTGATGGATTTGAACAGGTAATTTTTAAAAGAGAAGATCTAAATAATAAATAACCAAGATATGAAGAGATACTCAAATATGCAAATTAAAACAATAAAATATCATTTTCCATCTAGTGTACTTGCCAAGATAATAAATACCAGCACTGTTCATGGCAGGCAAGGATGCAGAAATAAATAAGTATAAAAGACTGCAGCATTTTTGGAATATAGTTTGGCAATGCCTACTGAAATTTAAAACACACAACCTCATTTTTGGAAATTTACTCCATGGAAATAAAAGCATCACATCTATAGAAGGGTGTCTCAGTATTGCTTGTATTATGAAAAGCCAGGAACAATTGGAATGTCCATCAGTAGGTGAATAATTTAATAACAATACAGGATATAATGAGAATTTATTCAGCCATTAAAAATAATAAAGTAAAATCTATATATATTGATCTGGAGGAATAGTCTTTAAGTGAAAAAAGCAACATGCGGAGTTATGGGGAAGAGCCTATTTTTGTTACTAAAACAAAACAAAGCAAAACAAAAACTAACCCAATGTCAAGTATATGTTTGCAGGAACAGAGAGAAAGAGAAAGGGGTTTGCTTGGAGATGACAGCGAGCGAGAGAAAAGATTTAAATTTTTCATATACTTCCGAATTAACTTGTTAAAATATATTATGCATGCCTGTGGAATTAAATATTAACAAAGAAAATTTAAAGAAGGAAGAAAAGGAATCTGCCTTAGAAACATCAATACATTTCATTTGATGTTTTGTGAACTGAAAAGTTCATGGCTTGTATCTATTGATTACCTTTCCTCCTTCTAAAGGGCAGGAGAAAGAAGGTAGGGTGGGCTGGAGCGGGGGAAGCTGGGAGCCACAGGTGTGTACCCCAAGGGCTGGGAGAGGGAGGGG